GGGGGGGGGGGGGGTTGTGCAAATACCAAAAAAAAATTCGCTCACAGAAAACAATTCAGAAAAAAATATCGTGCACAACAAACCTATTGGAAAAAAAAATCGAGCAAGAACTGGGGCAAATTTTGAAAATCGCAATGCAATTGTTTTAAAACATTAAATTGGTGTTTTTCGAAAAATTTATGCTTTCCCCCGTCGACGAACTTTCCGGGAAAAAATTTTTAGGTCACCTCTAAAAAAAATATCGTGCAAAGGAATGGTGCAGAAAAAAAATTCTTGCAAGCAGTTGGGGGGTGAAAAAAAATTCGTGCACAGAAAAATTGCCCAACCCCCCTAGCCCCTCATATAAAATGGTCCGTCCCTTAGCCAGGGCTGGATTGTTTGATGTTCCGGAGTCAACTGGAGAAGATGGGGGTTTGCTCTCGTCACGCATTGGGGAAGGAATGGCGTCCTCTTCGTTCGTGCCAGTACCCAACTCATCCATCCAAAAAGAAAAAAGTGAAAGGTTCCCATGTTGTTCAGCTAAAGCTTGCAAAAGAAATCCATAAAATAGGGCTGTAGAGTTGTAGGGTTGTACAGTTGCAGAGTTGTAGAGCGGTAGAGTTTTAGAGCTGTAGAGTTGTAGAGCTAGCTGTAGAGTTGTAGAGTTGTAGAGCTCTAGAGTTGTAAAGTTGTAGGGCTGTAGAGTTGTAGAGCTCTAGAGTTCCAAGGCTGCTGAGTTGTAGGGCTGTAGAGCTGTAGCGTTGTAGAGGTGTAGAGTTGTAAAGGCGCAGGGCTGTAGAGTTGAGGCTGGTAGACTGAGCTGTAGTGTTGTAGAGCGCTAGAGCAGTAGAGTTGTAGGGCTGTAGCTAAGTAGCTTTGTTGCCACGGTCAGTGCCATGATTACAATTTTCAATTTGTGCTTGTCTTTAGAAGAATGCCAAAAGTTGGTGATATATAATATAGGTGTGTGTTTATAAGAGGTGAATATTCCCCGATAATCACTGAGCCTGAGGCGAACAATTGTTTTAGTATTTTTACACAAGCCTTTTGTGTTTTTAGGACTGAATTTATTTTAATTTCGCTTAATTTCTTTATCAGTAATGTCTCAATCAATTCCATGGGTGCCCAACACCCCCCCCCCCCCGGGCGTTTGTCGGGCTTTTGTCATTTTGGCGAAAAAACGTTGCAAATGCCCCAGCATGGGGTCCAAATAATGCAACAAAATCCCCACCCTTGGGGACTTACATTGACGCAAATGCCCCACCCTTGGGGGACAAAATATAAGTTTTCTGAGGATTTCTGATCCAAAAAATCGAATCCAAGCTCTATCACGTATCAATATATCTGTATTTAAAATCGATTCTATAGCCATTTCGTTTTAAAACGTTTTTAATTAAAATATTGAAGTCTCAAAACTTTATATAGCAATATCAAACTGCAGAAGTAAGTCAATGTATCAACAGGATGGACAAGAAAAAAGTCTTGTGTATGTCCGCCATGATTAATTTGCGATACGCACGCTCGTGTAAACATGCGTACTAAAGTACGGCTAAATGGCGAAACAAGCGATAAATATTCGACTTTTTAGCCTCGAGCAAATTCCCCACCCCGGGGCTAACCTGCAGAAAGCAAATGCCCGACCCTGGGAACAAGTACAGTTGAGAATGCCCGACAAACGCCCGGGGGGGGGGGGGTGTTGGGCAACCATGGAATTGATTGAGACATTATATAACTATAAAAGTATTCACTATAGTATTCATACAGTTTAAATGTCTAATTACAATAATTATATATAGTTAAAACAATACACTAGACAAACACAAAAATAGATACGCATGCAAGGGTGGGTTGTAGCGAAGTAGTTGTAGTTCGCTACTGTAGCGAACTACAATTTTCAAGTAGCCAGTAGTTTTTGACTACTTTTTTAAAACAGTAGTTGTAGTTATAGCGAACTACATTTTGCCTAAAAATAGCCAAGTAGTTGACTACTTTTCAAACAGCGAATCGCTATTCGCTACTTTTTAAAATTGTTAGCAACCGTTCGTAGAATATAATGATATTAAGACACGGTTTGCTTAAAAGATTATTTTATACAGTAAAGATTATTTTAGCGAATTGAAAAGTGGCACTCCTGAACACTGTATAGTGTTTACAAAAATGTTTCATTGACCCTTTTTGTTTACTGTTGCTACTCGTAAATCGATTTTGTAATAGGTTAAATTACAGCCTGAGCCCAAATACCGTAAAACTAAAAAATATAGAGTAGCGAAATAGCGAAATAGTTCGCTACATTTTTTAAGTAGTAGCTGTAGTCAGTAGCGAACTACTTTTGTTCAAAAGTAGCTGTAGTTGTAGCTGACTACATATTTTTGAAGTAGCTGTAGTTATAGCGAACTACAAAAATTTTGTAGTCAACCCACCCTTGTTAATACGTCACATTTAACCAATCGACTTGCAGGATTTGTTATGTTCACTTGTGCAAAAATACGAATTATTATTATTAATAAGAAAGCGATTGTTTATTATTGATATACCCCGCGTCAAAATATTCAGCAGAGAAATTGACACTTTCCGGTTTCTGACAATGCGCGACCTAATTAGCATGTATAGCATAAATTTTTACATTTATTTAATATAGCAACTTAATTGCAGAATTGTAATCTTTGTTTATGAAAGGATATAAAGATTGTTACAAGTTTTACAGTTTAAACAAATGCCTGTATTCGCCGATCGATATTTCAAGCCGTTTGCTAATCGATTCAAGATATTCATAACTTGAGCACGCCCCTGCAATGAACATGGAACCACCGGTAAAAATAAATACAAAAATAAATGACCATGCAAGCGCGACACAAAAAATATTTGCGTATTAATTGCGAAACGTTTAATAAACAAAAGCAAAATAAAAGTTGACTTTAAAGTTATTTTTCAAGCAATGTTGCTGGGTGAGGGTTTTCAAGAAAAATTACGTTAGCAACGCATGCGTCGTCAATTACAGGAAAATTATCAAACTTTGTAGATTTGTGGCTATGCCCGTCAAGTGCCCAAATATTTTACGTTTCCCGTTAAAAAAACACAACTCTAGGTTTACAATGGTAGTAATCTGTACTTTGTATAAGGTGCCAAACTTACGAAATTTGCTATTTAATTTGTCTTATAAAGTGTGACTTTTCAAACTAGTAAAAGTGTATCTTTTCAGAAAATTATTTCTCCTCAAATCCTGGATAGATGTGTCTAATTTTTTGTTGTAAGAAACTATAAGCACTGATTGTTAAAATATTTTGATATTTTAGACTCTCACTTGCCTGCTTGCTTCGCGAGAGTCGTACGGAAATCTGCTATTTACGGCAGTTTCAGGCTGCCATTTTGGACCCATCAAGGTGTAAAATATCGATGAGCCAAATTTTACAAAAAAAGCTTTTTAACGCAAACCGATTTCTTTTTTCATACAAGTACCTAAAAGGAAAATTATTGTGAAAAATTTGAAGACTTTCATATTTCCTTCCAGAACTGGGTGCCCGGTTCTTACAGAGACAGCCT